AATTTCGTCATTCGTAATTGATCTCGTTGTTCGTAATTGATTTCGTCACGCGTAATTAATTTCGTAACAGTAAATAAATTCGTAATTACGTATTACGTTTTAGGCAAAACAATTACCATCCCATGTATAGACAGGAAATAAAAGTGGTTTTGCTACAAGGTTAAAAAAAATCAATACTTTTATGTCCTCAATTCATTGTATATCACATTGGTTTCATTTAGCTGAAAAGGATGCTGCTGATAAAGTAGAATATTTTCAAAAATATGAAAAAATATTACAAAATTTATATTCATATTTTTCTAGATCACATAAAAGACAAAACTTATTAAAATTGATGCAGGAAATTAATGATGAACCAACACTTAAAGTATTGAATTTATGTGACACTTGATGGTTGTCATTATCAAATTCTGTATATAATTTATATCAAATCATGAATTCAGTACTTGCTGCTTTAAATGATGATATGTTAGAAGGTGATGAGCATGCAAATGTTTTTACTTGGGCAATTGGATCAAGATTTCATTACTGCAACAATGTTTCTTGTTGATTTAACAACATTTTGAAAAGATTAATAAAAATATTTCAATTAGATAATTTATCTTTATCACAATATAAACCAAACATTGATGCTGCAATTAAAGAGATAATAGCAGAATTTATAGGTGATGAAGAAGTTCTAGCAAATCATGGCATGATATTCAAAAATTATTTAGAAGAAAATTATCATCATTTGTTAGAGATTACTTATTAGTAATGATAAAAACCATCAATGATAGATGCCCTGACTCTGAACTATTTTCTTTGTTTAGAATTTTTGATCCAAATGAACTTCCTGATACTGAAAATGATTTAAATCTATATGGTCAGAGTGAGATAGAGTTTTTAGATAAATTTATGGAGATACTAGATTGGTTAATGATGAACTGTGAAATTGTTGAAAAAGGAAAACTCATAAAAGAGTGAAACTCTCTAAAATTCTATATTGTTAAAATAACACTCCTTATACCTTTTCCCAATGCACATGTTGAAAGAATATTTTCACAAACAAATCTGATAAAAAACAAATTGAGAAACAGAATGAAGGTAGATATATTGAATAGTCATTTAATGATTTTGCTAAATGATCCAGATATTCAAGAATTTTGATTTTGAGAAAGGATATGAACATTGGACAAATAAAAAAGAAAGATAAATAGTTATTCAATATCAACAAAATGTGCGCATTTTTTATGTAACACACGCTTCCGCACCCAATTTCACACACTGGTTGTTCGTAGGAACAAGTTTGGCACACATTGTTATTTGTGCTTCAATTCTGCACAAAACAAAACTTCAAGTGATAGAGTTCAGGAGAGGAATAAAAATTTGAGTAGCAAATTATCAGCAAAGATTATAAAACAAAAATCTTCATCAGAATCAATCAGACTTGTTAACGTTAGAGATGAGAACAGTTTGATTCATAAATTGTCTGTTCGACTAGTTGAACCACGGTTTTATAATTAAAAATTAAAGCTGTGTCACAGTTTCGTAGCAAAAGTATTGAGTGCACCAAATTCATCGATTAGCCATAATAATTAAAAATAAAGCTCTGAAGATTATGTTTCTAAGACTTCTGGAAAAAATCTATTAATAGTAAATCTTGAATTTTTAAAATTAACGAAAAATTTTTAAAAAATCATGCAATAAAATTTATACCAGAGAAATAAGGATCTTAAATCATCACATTTAAAAATTTTGAACTTAAAATGATCGAAAATTTTTATTTTTAATTGATAAAATCCAGAAACATAAAATTTTACATGCATAGCTAAACTATATTCTGATATAAATTTTTTGCGTGGTTATTATGTACACTTTTGGCTAGTTGCCAAACACTATAAAAGATTGTACCATAATTAGTTTCTTTTATAGTACTACATAATTATGTTTAGTCAAGATTATTTCTTTGGTAAAACCAAAAGACTGCTACTTATATTATTAATCGTTCTTGAATAATATATAATTATTTTACTCAAGAATAATTTAACAAATTGTTTTTGTGCAATAAAGTAAATATTACGACAAAAAGTATATTTTAATCAATAAAGTTGTAAATAATTACAGCTCTACCTACGGTTTACGACTTTTGTGGTTTTGGGGTGTCGTGCCAATTTTATTTACGACTTATACCGTAATTCGACGTCAAGTATAACAATTAATTTGTAATATTTCTAGTTATAATTTTGGTGGGTTGAGAGAAACATTTTTATTTTCCAAAATGATAAATAACAAATTATCCTCACATATCACCATATTATATGGGTTCCTATCTATTTGTCAACCAAAAAAATCAAAATGCCAGAACAAATATTTAATTAGAAATCGTATTTCGTTCTAGCTATACAATAATGAATGGCATTACATGGTATTAACCTTTATGTTTCATATTGCTCTGGCATTTTAGGCCACTCGAAATGACCAAAAACTTACAGACTTGTCTTAAGTGGGTTAGAAATGTCCATGGTGGACGAAGCAAACATTACTTACATCCTAATGAGTTTAGAAACTATGATGTTCAAATGATAACCAAGAAAAAATTCAAAAATTTGCAATAATAACTTATTAAAATAGATGTTGGCGTGAATATATAATTATCCGTTCTCATTCTTGCCACCGCCAAAAAACAAAAAGACTTAAAAGAAATGAGCAAACATTGAGGCTTTTTTTTATATTAATATTAATTTTTTGATCTTGATTTGTTCGCAACTACAATTAGTTGGAATTATAGCAGAATTGATGGGGCAGAGTTAGGGTGTGGAAATTAAGTCAGTGCAACAAAAAAGTAAAAAAAGATTTGTTAATATATACAGTACCTGGGCAAAAGAGTGGATTCGTGTTTCTATATATTAGCACCAGATCTTGCTGATTCGTGCAATATAATTTTTATTGTTTATATATTTTTTTTTTCAAAACAAAAATCTAGTATTTGAGAAACGTGCGCTTCCACTAATTATACATAAAAAATAATATCATTTTGCACCTTGGGCTTTTAATGAATACGAATGCAATTTTTTTGTACGAAATTCTATCCAAGTCGTTCTATCTTTTGTATTTTTATATAAATAATTTTATATCAGTATATATATAGTCTGGGTTTCTCAAAATATTTTCACTAATTTATAGTTAGTAGATAAAAAATAAATGATTTAAGCTATAGAAAAAAAAGCTTGTAACATTAATTTTAGATATGAGATAAATTAATTGGTTGTTATTATGTGTGCAATTAAAATTTTTTAAAGTTATGACTGCCGAAATTTTAATAAACAATTAGTGTGTAACCTGCTGAAACTCTACCGATTGATTTCCATAGGAGTTTTGGCAAGCAACCATAGTTATACTGAAGTTTGATATTGCAGTTTGGTTAAAATTGTGCTTTGAAATGTGTAAACCGAACCGCATCGGTTCATGGTTTAAACACTTAACCACTTCTGGAGGAATTTGATAATAAAAGCCCATGCGGTTATCCTTCAATTATTGTTCTATTCCGATGATGAATCCGTCGGCTAAATAGACCGACTATAATCCTAACAAAATGTACACATTAACAATAGCATTTCTTGAGCTTCAGTTACCATTATCAGGGGACAAACAAAGATAGCTGTCTGTTCATCATGCAAGACTGCAGAAAATCGTAAATTTCCACCTGCTTTTAAATCCTCTTTTGTGTTTGATTTTAATTGCTCAAATGTGGATAGAGATGTCATAACTGAATATAGAAGACTAGCATGTTACATGTACTGCAACAAACAGAACAATATGTCGTAGTGAATATAAATGGTTGATTGCCAAAACTCTACCAGAAATCAATTGGCAGGTTACACTAATTGTTTATTAGAGTTTTGGCAGGTACACATTATATTAGAGTTTCAGCAGAGTTTCAGCAAGCAACCTTAGGTATGATTGCTAAGTGTAACATTATGATTAGAAAATATTTGACCATTATCCTTGGAGTAGATGGAATTCAAGTAGCCAGGAGAAATCCTGTTGGTGGGACTGGATAAAAATTTACTTTTATAATTGTTTACCAACAACATCACTCAATTTTTACTTGCCTATGGTCCTGCAACTGTAAATCAAAAAACGCATGTCTTCCTAACACTTCTGCAGAGAATATGGCAACCTGATTTTCTGATATCCTGATACTTAACATGCTTGTTAATGATATGGTCAGGGATAATGATTTTCTGCAGTAACAAAATATAAAATCAAATTCTGCAGGATCCTGTGGCAAATCTTTGCTAGCATAAATTACAATTGATAAATTGTTGAATTTTGCATTCATGAAAACATAAAATCGACTTTTATGGCTTTCCACTTGCTCACTCCAAAAAATCTATTTTCACAATAATAACAATGGTAATCTCCCAAAAAATATACAATAAATAAGGTTATGATCACCGAAAATCTTGGCCAATGAATTAAGTGCCATTACATTGTATTGATTCACGAAAAATTTTTATATTTTCATCTCACTTTTAATAAAGGGATTATGAGTTCTTCTACTGGAGACATTACAAACATAAAAGGAAAAAGTTTTCTTTCTGCTAGTGGCTCAACAGAGTTAGGCAACATTCAAATCAAATATGTTGGTGTTATGACTGCATGTACCTACGTGTTAGTTTGTTTTTTTCGTTTAGTGACAGGAATCTTACAGTCTCTAGGTTAAGATAAAGATGTTTTCACAGAAATTATTTATATTTATTGAATGAATGAAATGAATGAATGAAATAAATAAACGAAATAAAAACGCGTTAATATTTATCAAAAAAAAAAAAAATTTTTAGTCGATAATAGCAGCAGCAGTACAGATGATTCCATAATTAGTGATCAGTTTATACCAGATACTTTGTTTGCTTTCATTTATGCATTTATTGGAATAGTTCCGATAATGACTATTCGAAAATTATATATACAAAATTCAGGTAAATTAATTCAATGATTTTAATCTAATATTATTATTAAATAACATTATTAACATATATTAATTATAATTAGTCCATCGATCTAATGCTAAAAGTTTAAAGCAAGAAATATACTTTACCGTAACAGATAAATTTTTATGGAGTAATTTTTTTGGTTATTTGCTTTCTATGTGGAGCATAGAACATGGTTTTTATACTTATATTATGAAAGATTATGAAAAAATAAACTCATTATACTTAATTCCTGGTACTGAACAGTAAGTCACTATTTATTATTAGTACCACTACTAAAATAATGTTATTATTATTATTATTAATTCATAGCTAATTATGTGATCAATCTATCAATTCATTGATCAATAATAGATTTATTTGTCCAAGTCATCGTAAAGATAGTTGTGATAATCTTAGACCTACAATTAATGAGTATAAAGCAATATCAATTACTTTTAATTTAGCATTAAGTGTATGGTATGTAATTGATCATATATTTAATAAGAAATACATGTTATCATTTCATATTGGTGAGGTAAACTAAAAAAATAAAAATATCATTTGATAAATTGTATCAATTAATTATTATTAATTGTTATTAATATATATATATATATTTTAAATATAAAATCAGCCAAGATATTTATTAGATTTACATAATGAAATTTGGAAATTATTTTCTCGCAAGTATGATGAATTATTTTGCAAGATTATTTATACTAGCATACAGTTTAGTGTGATATTCTGGATATTGAAATTATTATTTTGGGAATCATTTTTCAGGTAATTTAATCAACTAATTAATTTGAATTCTTCTCATGAGTTTCAAATTTTAATATACTTTTATTGATATATATAGTTATGTTGTACTTTATCCTTGGTTAAGAGCCCCATGGTTTGACATTATACTCTTTAATCGAACAGTCTATTGTTCAATTTTCATCATGTCTTTTTGGTCGTTAACTCATTTTTTATTTGATCATTTCTTTACAAGGGTTTGTTATTGGAATATCTTAAATTCAATGAATTAAAAAAAAAAAGATATATATATGCTTTGATTTTATTCAATATCTAAAAAAAATTTTAATTTATATCATATAGATAACCCTTGTAACTGGAAAATTTGTAGATCCCAATGCAATGCTTGTTGATGGATTACATGGTTACAAATTTCCTTATTTTCAAGTAATTTTATTTCTTAAAAATGAAAATATTTAAATATATAAATATATATATATATATGCATTGTAAATTAAATTTTTATTATATTATATAATAGCAAATAGCTTTTATGGAATTATGGCATATTTCAAAATATGATCATGAAAGACGTAATTTAATATATTCAGACTTTAATCGCAAACAACCATATGAATGCCCATTACACAATAATCCAATTTCTACTTGGACAGAAATTTCATATTCTTGCATGGATTTAATAATGAAATTGACAAATGATGCAGAGAAAGAGCTGGAGGGTCAAAAACAAAAATTATTGCTTTTAAATAACAAATATGATGAAATTAGAAATTTAACAAAAAAATCAGAAACAACAACAAATCAACAACAACAACTATTACACAATCAACCAAGAGTTGTTCATGGAAATCTGGAAGTTAATCCAACGCTTGATACGTTAAAGAAAGATCCAATATATACAGAATTGTATTATTTGGAAAGATATCATTTGATTTTTGGTGATAAACATAAAATTATCAGAAAATTATATGCTTTATTCATTGTTCCAATTTTCAAGGAATCGATTGAATATAGAACAGCTATTGTTTGTAAAGATTTTTATACCGTTATCTTTGCGATACAATGTAAGTTTTATATTATAAAATTTATTTTCTTATTTATTTATTAATAAATATCTAATATTATTTATAAATAAATACGAATAGCGCTTACAACATTAACTACCAAATCAATAAAAGAAGATAAATACGGGGTTGTCCAGAACCATATTTCACCAATATTTGAATCGTTGTTGCTATGTTTGATATTACTTGAAAATTATGTTAAGGAACCACCACTTGATTATTGGGATATTGGAGATCCTTATTCAACCACATCATCTAAAGTCTTGGCTGAACCCGTAGCAATAATTAATGGTTAGTCAACTCTTTTATTAAATGAAATAAACAATTAATTAATTAATTGTTTTTGTTTGACAAATGAAAATAATAGTACTGAAGGATTCGTTGATCAGCTTATATATGACGTTTAGAGAATCTATGGATTATGTAAAATTGACAGACATAACTAACGGTAGATTAAATAAATTGGTAAAAGAACTTTTTTAAATAAATCACTCGAGTAAAATTATCGTGAAACGTCAAAAATAATCATTTGAATACAAAAAAGTATAGCAGTAAATGTGATTCCTGAGAGATTTTCACAATAAATAAAAATATGTGCAATGACGATTAATTGCATAAAAGCATATGATAAAAAATGTTTAATTTTTCCTTAACATTACATCACACTAAGTTATCTCAGCACAATACTTAATATTCATCAAACTATTATCATCTATTGTCACGATGATTACGATGACACAATTATTATATCTAACGTTCACGCGCCATTTCAACAATTTTAACCCAAATAATTAGTAACCAGTTTCGTCTATATAAAGTGCGAGAATTCTAGTTATTCTCACAAAAAATTATTATTCCTTGTAAAAAATAAAAAATAAAAATCATACAAACAAATTCTCAAAAACAAAACATAAAAATGACTACTTATTACGAGAAAGTTAAAGAATCCGTAAAATCAAACGAAACGTTTCAAAATAGTACCAGAGAAATCGGTAGAGTTGCAAATGATGTTACCTCGGAAATTCAAAAAGTAGCTGCAAAAAATAACATTAATTCGCCCTTACCTTCTGATTTCGTAAGTGAGGTCGATAAAGCTGCTAGTATTTTGAGTTCTTTTACCGGTAATTATATGATCATATAATTATTCGATTATCCAATTAATTATGCTTGGTGGTAATTGTGAAATTATTAAAATTTCTTGTAAAATCATATAGATAAATCTGGGGGTGGTTTAGAAATGACAATTCCAAAAAAGGTCATTCAAGAAGCAAAAGGCTTGGCTATTTTCACTGTGTTCAAAGCTGGCCTTTTTTGGTCAGGACGCGCTGGATCTGGTATAGTTATTGCAAGGTAAGAAATAAAATCATATTTTGCTCCCCATGACGACAAAAATTTTTTAATAACCAAAAACTTCTTATATAGAACTCAGGATAATACTTGGTCTCCACCATCTTGTATAAACATTGCGGGTGTTGGGTTTGGTGCACAATTTGGCGCCGATGTTACTAACTTTGTAATTATTCTAAACACTGACAAAGCGGTTAAAGCTTTTAGTTCTGGTGACAATGTCACTTTGGGTGGAGGTTTATCTGGTAAATTTATAATAAGTATTTACTATATAATATTATATTAAATAATAATGATAATATATATATATATATAATTGTCGTTTTTTATATAGTATCTGCTGGCCCCATTGGTATGGGCACGGAAGTTTCAAGTAGTGTTTATGAACCATCTGCATTATACTCGTATAGTAGCTCTAAAGGGTTTTTTGCCGGTAATTATTACTATAATTTTGTGCGTTTGTGATTACTTTACCTTTTCTAAATAATATTGTATTTATACACACACACACACACAGGTGTATCTGTTGAAGGTACAATAATTATGGAACGTAAAGACGCCAACAAAAAATTCTATGGTAGAGATATTTCTGCAGCCGAGATTTTAAGTGGAAAAGGCGATTTGACACCTTTATCAACTAACAATGATTTGTACGACGTTCTTAAACGTTCTGAAGGAAGAGATAGCCAACACCATGAAGGAAAACGTGGTAAACGTGAAACAAAAGATGGCCAACACGCCGAAGCAAAGCGTGAAGCAAAAGAGAGCAAACAGACAAAACGTGAAGCAAAAGAGAACAAACATGATACAAAAGAGGGTCACCATGACAATCATCAATAATTAGTAACGAGATAATGCTTGATGAACATTATTAAAACCAAACCAACTATTAAACTATTTCTTAAATAATATAAATTAGATTTTTGGGCTTTATATTATATATATCTTCTCTTTATAATATTATTAATAAACATTTTAAAATACAAAGTATTATAATAAAAATTTTTTTTCTAAAAAGTAAAATATTTTAGATTTTTCTTGAGGTTTTCCATTTCAGTTTCTTTATAACAATAATAATAATATATATTAATATGTATTATAATAAAAATTTTTTCCCTATAAATTAATAAACAACGAACAAACCTTCTTCATTTAATTTTTTATTCTTCAAAGCTTCTCTTTCTGAAATTAATAATTTTGATCGCATTTGTGCATTTTTCTTTAATCTATCTTTATATTTTTTTACTCCTTTGTTAATAGGAGGTAATTTGTTTTTATTACTCTTATTATTATTTTGTTTTATCTTATTATTATTATCATGATTCTGTTTAGTTGTTTCGGTGGATTCTTTTAATAAATTATTATTATTATTGAATACTTTGTCCGATTTCTCCTCCCCTTCCAGCTTTCGTTGAAAATATGGTGAATCGTATTTTCTTAAAATTTCTAATATGAAAGCTTTTTTATCTTGTATTTCATTCATTTTTCAAAATTTGATAAATAATTTTTTATGTCTAATTTATACGCCGATCATCGATCAAGTTCTATTTATCACGTTTATCACTTCGTGACGATCTCGAAATTATGTCGTGTGACTATATAATTTTAAAGTAGATTTGTACATGCAAAATCACATTTTCAATTGACAAAAAAATTATTTACATAGGCGACCCCGTTAAAATGAATAATTTTAAAACACCAAAGCCAAACATATGTAAATTACCCCGTTAATATGAATGTCACTAATAAAACTTTATAAACCGTAAGCTGAGGAAATTTTTAAATTTTTTGAAGCCATTTATATGTAAAATTGCCCTGTTAATCCAAATTTTTATAAACCAAAGATTAATTTGTATAAACCGAAGCGAAATAAAAATTGGACCAATAATAATAATATACAAATACATATGTATGTTGTATGTGAAATTGAAATTTATAATTAAAATTTTGGGTTGAGTGTTTGGATATGAAATTCTGATTGGCTAATTTGAATATGTGAATTGCAAATTCACATAAATTTCATTTTCACACACAAGAGGAAAAAAATCTACTGAAAAAGAAATTGGGGTATCAAAAAGAAAACATATGCCTATAAAAATCTCACAAAAAATATAAATATGCATCAAAAAAAATAAAGACTCAAACATAAAAAATAACCAGCTTGCATCTAAATATAATGTCAGTGAATTTACTGTTTCTGAAATTCTAAAAAAGAGTGATTATTTTTTATCATTGAATCCAAATCAATTCACTGCCAGAAAATGGATAAAGGAAATTCTAAATCCTAAATTTTTAAATTTATTACCCTGTTTATCCAAATTAATTTATAACAACTTCAGATTATAAAAAAATCCCATTAATCTGAAACCCTGTTAATCCGAAGGAAAGTTCCTGCACAATTGCCTTCAGTTTAATGGGGTTGCCTATGTAATATTCAAAGAAACTTTATAATTATATGTAAAATAAAAAAAAAAAAGTAGTTTCTACCTTGCCATCTAGATAACTTCAATATACATATACTTTTACCAGAGGCAGGGAAAATCAAATAGTAACTTTTACTCCACTAAAGGAAATTTACTTACATAATAATATTATTTTTTATTCTCACTGACCAATTTACACATTAAGAATACTCATGTTTAATGTTGAGATACAATAAGATATAAAGTTTGAAATAAGGTCCAAAAAACCAAATCAGCTGATATGAGTACTATCAACGCACTGGTCCTTGTAATAAACTGTCATTGAAGCAACATTTATCATATTTGCCGTAAAACATTAGGTGAAGCAATGAAATCATTTAGCTCAACAGCCAAAGCTCTTTGAATAGATTTCATTAAAGAAAAACTGGGTTCAAAAAAATCATCAGGAATTACTTGTATGATCCCTGTTACTGTTGAAGAGCAAGAAAATCAATTATCAGAAAATTTAATGACAAACAAAGAATTAATACTAGTAATTAATTCATTGATTGGATCCTTGGATGAAGCTAATAAGCCACAATTTAAAGGACTAGGAGCAAAAAAGAAAAAAGATTTACTATTAATTCTGCAACAAGTCAAAGATCTCAACAATGGTGCTAATGGTAGTGAAATAGAGGAGACAATTTAAGAGGAATTATATCATCTGCAAAACCAAAATGAATTTAAGATAAATGAAAAAAAAATTTTATTATTATTGTTATTGCTTTATTCCATTAATTATTATTTTATTATATAGTTTGACTCATGTTAAAATAAACAGATCAACACTAATGAACATTTTTAATACTATATAATCCACTGGTGTCATTGCAATAAGATGATATGATTATTACTATGATGTAAAGGTTATGCATAAAATATTTTATTTTATTTTATTTATTAATTTGTCATTTTATTTATTTATAGAATTTAACAAAACTTGGAATTAATATTTCAATATTCTTATCTTTAATTTATAATGTATAAATGTTTAATTATTTATATTTAATCAATAATATTTATTTACGTAAAAAATTTTTTAATGAAACCAAAAAAATTTACCAATAACTAGATGAATTTTTCTTTAGTTCAAAAAAATATAAAAAGCAACATACCAAGTATCCAAAATAAAATTTTATCATCCAAATAAAAAAAATAAAAATAATATATACTGTATGTTATTATTAATTTGCTACCATTTATCTACATAATCTAATGCATCTTGTAAATTGGATGCAATTTTAGTTCAACTTTTTTTTACTTAAAGACATGTAAATTCAAATTAATTAAAATATAAATTTATGCAAAACACATGTATGTCATACACACACTCCTAGACAAATGTTTCGGGTAACTTATTTACATTAATTACTCATAATAATTATATAAAAATTTATATCAATTTGTAATTTAAAATTTAACCATAATTATTGAACACCTAGATGTACCAGAAGTATGTTTTTAAATTTTTTTATTTAATTACTGTGTATGTGTCAGAGTAATTAACATAAATACAGAAATAGGTATCCGAAATCTTCTGTCTAGGCGTGTTTAATAAAATACAATAATTCTTTGTAGAATAATTATTTGTTATTTGTTTATCAATACTAATACTAACAGCTAATACTAATTCTTCAATTTTCGGACATGTCGATCATAAATATTGGGCCAATCAAAACAAACTTCCATTATGCTAATAATAATAAGGTTCAGTCACCGGACATTGCATAACATTCTAATCGTGTAATAACCAGTTTTTTGTTAAAAAAAGTAAACCTGCTTTTTAATGAATACCAAAAGAAATTCTTTATATAAAGCTATGTCCGTTCAAAAATGGCCTTACGTTTACATTTCAAGGAAAGATTTTCTTTTCAATTTCGCTGTAAATGTCTTGAAAATTGGTGAATAATGTGCACCAGACTCGAGAAATATCCCGAATGATATAATACCAGAAATGAGAGGGCAAAACACGTCTTTTCAGAACAGCATATCCAATATATCAGTTGGAGCCGTGACCTTATACCTTGCAGGATAAGAGATTTAAAATTTACCCCAATGGAACGTAGTGCCAAGTCTTTGACTCACCCTCAAATTTCGATGGACAATTCTGATTGTGGCAAGTATTTTAATATCACCAATGCTTGCTTACTTAATACTTAACTTATTGGTGATTGCGATTACATGGTTTGCAATGATCGATTCCATGCAGAGGATCACAAAAAAGAGCACGATGCGAGATGTGCCAGTTTTTCGTAGGATGGCACCTATCTGATTTGCGTGCGTGAACCTAATCTTTATCGATTTAGAGGTTACAATGAATATAGGAGCTTTATAATAACCATGTACAATAGTTGCAAGGAAGTATCATCAGCGTTATGAATTTCTTTCCAGTAGTGAGGATGAGACTTTGTAATGATCATAAATTCAAAATATCACCCTACGAACATATATGACAAAAAAATACAAATACAATAAAAGTTATGTTCACCAGTCTTATATAGCAAAAGAACAAAGTATCATGTAGGCAATTTAATAAGGGAATTTTGGGTTGTGACACGAAAAAATCATGGGAAGTCAGCGCTTTGGGAGAAAGTCAAGTATTTAGACTTTGGGATAGATCTGTACCATAATCACAAATCTTCACTTTATGAAATGAAATCAACACAATCAACGCAATCAATGAGACGGATTCAAAGCCCACTTTATTAAATATCGAGTACATGTGCAATTTTTAGAAATAAACACATGATAAACGTATAATCCTAACAACTATGTTATAAAATCTTTTGATATTCATTAATGAAGTTTACCCTTATATCCTATTCCTACAATTGCCATTCGAGGAGCTACTAAACATGGTGTTGCTTGGTCAGGTATTTTTTGATTGGAAAGCGGATATATGGTTAATTCTTCAAAAATGGGAACTTCGATAGGATGAAGAATATCTTCATAATTTTTGGTTTTTTTTACAAAATAATCGATTCTTTTGATATCAGATTGGGAAATCCTAAAGTAGGGTGTGAAAATCTCCTCGACATCTTTCCAATATGATACATCTTTGTAATGAAAAATTTGTTCAAATGTTACGGGCTTTGGAAGCAATTTACTTAGGTTAAAAAGAGAAATTAGGTAAGAAAAAAACTTTTGTTTGAGTGAATTTTCATCTTGCCCTTTTTGCCCTACTAAACAGAACGGATTGTAAATAAACCGTACTTCTGATGTCGAAAAATCTTCTGAGAAAAGAGAGAACATATCTTCTTCTGTAAAATGCTTACAATCATGACCGTAGGTTCTATATTTATGTATAATCTCAGAATACCAACGTGTCGAGGGATGTCCCTCTAAAAAATCATGAATTAGACAAACTCCATTTTCTTTTAAGATGTTGTAAACGCTTGTAATAAATATCTTTCTTTCTTGGGGAGGAATATGATGTACACCGTAGGATGCAATCACAGTATCGGCAATATGCTTTTTGAAACAATGATTTCTGCAACTACCCCAAAAAACAGTCTCTCCGTTTTCACGAGCCAATTGACACATCTTTTCAGAAATATCCATTCCCAAGACCGTTGGTAAATTTTGTTCCTGCTTCCACAAGATCTTTAAACGCTTGGACAAAGTCCCACTTCCTGATAGAAAATCTATAATAGATAAATTCTCGTGGTTTTTATTTAGATTCTTTTCTATAGCATAAAGCATGAGACAAAAAAGATTTTGCCAGCGTTGTCCTGTAGCATTTATCATTCTGAAATGTCACGTACAGATTGCCCATATCCTCATGACCAAATCCCCCATTCTCCAACTTTCTTAGGGATTTTAAACTCTCTAAATAAAGAGGATTGTTTAATTGAGTGTCATCAATAAATTTAATTATTTCCTCTTTTTCAAGTAAGATTTTATTGTTGAAATAAGAATTATTTATAGATATGCCTCCAGAATAATTATTAAGAGGTTGGTTTTCTCGCGAAGCCATTACAGTAGCTTCTCAGTTTCTTAAAATAAAAGGTAATATTTCAATTATGCGTGAACACATTGGGATTAAATATATTCACGAGAGTTTTGTAATTTGAAATTGATACCAGCGTTACACAAAATCAAAGTATTTATAGGGAAGTATCATAAGTAAAAAGGCTGAATTTCATTGTCATTTTCTCAAAATAGAAACCAAAATAAAATTCTCTAATATTTTTAACAAAAGGAAGAAGGAAGATAATGAGAGGCGTTTATTTATCTAAAGCCCATGATATGACAATTGATAATGATAGCAATAATAAAAAAATTGATAACGATAGCGATAATAAAAAAATTAATGATAGAAAAAACAATTTGTATTTCACCCTAATTTGTTTAAATAAAGATAAAAAATTCTCTAAAATAACGCTTATGAAGATGCCTCTGCTACATTTACTTTGGTTTTTCATCATTAGCTTTTGCTTCCATTTTTAAAATAACGGTGCGAACAATATTCACAACAATAGCGTTGTATAAAAAAACTTTTTTTTTGGAACGTGAGATGAAGAATCTAAAATAAGGAAGAAATCCAGGTGTGTAATTTGTTAATAAACATATTTAGGAATATTGTTTAATATGGTTCTGAAGAAGACGGGTTTGTTAATGGCCAGAGAGTTTCTTTTTGTATTGCTATTTTTTTAATAAAATAACCTAAACGTCTAATGTAACATTGTTGTATCTTTTACATTATATAATGATGAGTAATTATAAGATTTCTCGGTGATAACAAACAAATTTGCTTTTGTGATCATTATCCCTTAAGCGGTTTTTCGGCTATTGATAGCCGAAATTTTTTTTCTGTTATAAACAACTTTTTCTGAGGGTATCACTTCCTAAAACAAAAATGATCTTTGAAATCCAGATGATTGATCTGTAAATAAGATTCGGTTGATGTCCTTGTGGTTTTAGTAAAATCTTTAAAAGTTGGTCGTTTACTTTGCAGATCGTCAAATTGGCCAATAAGAATGCAAGATCGTGATCAAAAAATTATTTTGTTACTTGACCGTTTAAGAGATATCACAAAAAGTCTCAAAAGGCAAAAAAAAAAAAGCAACACAGCTATTGAAGATCATGCATACACACACACACACACACGGAAAACTACTCTTGGACAAACTGGAAACATCAAAAAATAATTTGTCTGATTTGATCTTGGAAATTCATTTTATAGATGTAGAAGTATCTCGAATATTTAAACCATCACAATTGTTCTCATCTTCCTAGTGTACATTAGGATAATCTGACTTGGTCTACAAACGATGCGATAATGCAAACGAGAATACCGTGTAGAGTTTCTATTCGTAATACATACAACTCGATCTTAATTCGAGTTATTTCATTTTATTTTATTATTTTTATTCATTTTTATTCGAATTACTCGTTTTATTCACAGCTTGGTGCAACAAATTCTATAATATTGTTGTTGTCATTGTTGAGGTCTTATTTCCTTTAATAAAATAATATAAATTACCACAATAATTATATTTATAATCTATGTTACTATTGTGAATTAAGAAAAAGAAAAATGTCTATTATTTTTGCCACTAATATTTATTGTTATTATCACTATATACTGTACAAGGACTACGAAGGAAAAATAGATTGATAAAAAAAAAATATTGGTTTTATTCGAGTCGATCATTTTATTCGAATAGAAGCCTTAGCATTGTGGCCCTGGAGCGTCGTTGTCAATAAGAGTGTTAAAGCTTCTCGTTTGTCTGCGAAAAAAATTTTATAGATTCGAGGAGTGCAATTGCATAATAATAATAATAATAATAATAATAATAATAATAATAATGTATTTCCGTGTGATTTCCGTATTAGTATATTAATATTAGTATGTTTAATCAAGTTTATAGTTAACAAATAAAATGCTTTGTATGCCCATTTTTATTTGCGAGTTTATCAGTTATTTAATAATATTTCAGAGCTATAAAGCATTCCGTTTTAATTCCACATTTACAAATGTCCTTATATTAATAATACAAATGACATCACGGACTCAACTGATTGCTGCTTTTATGAAATAAACTGAACATTTATGGAGTGATAATCACGATCACGGAGATATAATGGAAATATTCCAAAGTGGCATTTTTTACAGGGTGAATGCATTTCATCGGAATGTACTCAACCTGTAAAGTTTATAACCCATACATTTTTTTCTTGCCCCTGTCAGACCTATCTTGTCATGCTTACATTTCTTTTACGAAATAGTTCATGCCAATTGATTATTGAAAATCAAGAATGGATATATTCAATGGAATTTAATTTTCACTCAATGAAACATCAATTGTTCAATTTACTCCAAGAAATTAGTTTCCAATAATCCTGGCTTATTTTTACTATTATCTGATGATTTTAAAGATATCTAAAAGCCAATGATTTCAGTCTTTATTAGAAAAAGATAATTTGGTATTGAAGAAAATCGATATTTGGGATTATGTCATTTAATGGGGGAATCGATCAAAATGAAGAATTGGGAAAAAAATATATCTCAATATGGGAATGCGGATGATTTCATAAGTTTAAATTATTCCATTAATAAAATTTAGTCGAATGGTTTTTATGTGAAGAAATGGATTGATGAGAAAAAAGATCCATATGATCCAAATAGTTTACCTTACGATTTTAATCCTTTGTTAAGGTTTTGTCTGATTACTAAAATGGATGAATGACAAAATTATTTCGATGTTGAAACATAAATAGTTTTAGCATTGTTATTGAAATTTACATTAACATTATTGGTTATTAAAGTTTCTTTATTCTAATTATACATCGATTTCACCATTACCATCTATTTCAAATGTGTTTCCATTTCTCCAGGACGACCACATCCCTAATACTTTAGACAATAACTACAAGTTGCATCCCAATATCCATGTGTATCAGGATAATTAGTTTTATAATGACTCCAAATTTGTTCTCTGAGTCAACCTCCAGCTTGTTTCTTACGCTTTTCATTTTGATCCTGCTGATTTGATTTGTATTAAATGACATATATCCTTCAGAACATGTATTGATACATTTGAAAATAAATTGAAGAGGAAGTTGAACTTTTGGTCATTTTAATAATAAAACAATAGTTTATAAATATTACAAGACTATAATTTCAACTTTTGGCACGGTTTTAACAAACTATTAATTATAACATTTTACAATTGCGACAATTAGTTTAAATGTTTGTTTATTAATATTTTAGTAATTGTAAAAAACTTTTTTTAAAAAGTTTCTTATTTACATTAACATTATCGCGTATCCTATTACCGTGCTAAACATGATTAATATGAAAAAAAAAACTGACGACATTATGATGATTGTAAAGTGCCAGCGAAAATTAAGGATCCGACTAAATTTTTAAGGCTAATATTAACACAGGAGGAAAATTCCACTGATGAGTTTAATCAAATACATGATTGTCTTATTATTATCATCATCATTATCAGTTATGTATTTTTGAAAATGTAACCAAATGATTGAAAAATATTAAGACCAAAGAAATCAAATTTACACAACTTCTTGCATTTATTAAGAATCTGGGTAATTATTTAGGGATCTTGGGTATATTTTTATGTGTAACTTTTATATTAATGTGTCTCAATGTTGGATATTGATATGTGTATGAATGTATGGTAGTTTGAATTAATTTAGTATGTTGTTTCTCTTTATTTTATATAGTAATAAAAGACAAATGAAATAAATTAAATAAATATAAAAATAAATATAATTTAAAAAAATTTTTGGTATATCAATTCACTTGATTCTTAATTATAAGTAATCAATTAAATTAATAAATTTCAATTGATTAACCATTTAATTTGCCTTATTAAAATTGTATTTCAAGATCACTAAATAAACTATTATTACTCTTTAAATTTAATTTAGCAATTTCATCATTTAATATTCTACTTGTATGATATGCCAACGGATGCGATTGGTGAATTTGGTGTAAATTACTACTGCTACTATCACTATTACTATCACCACCATCATCATTAATATTTTCAGTATTATAAAGTTCCTCAAATTTATTTCTAGAAAAACTCATAAGCTCTCTGATATTTGGTCTTTTGGTCGGGTTCACATCCCAACACCTTTGCATCATTTGCACATAGTCATCAGGCATTCCTGGTAACATTGGTGGTCGTAAACCTTCACATATATCTACTATTAAGCAATAATCATGAGCTCTATCATCAAATGGTGGATAACCTGCAAATATTTCCCACATTAACATCCCAAGACTATAAATATCAGATTCTTTTGTATTCTTATTTCCTTTAAATAACTCGGGTGCAATATAAGTTACTATTCCATAAATTTTATTTGATGATCTTTCATCAACTGGTCCACATAATCCTAAATCTGTAATATAACAACTATTTCCATACATTAATATATTGCCACTATGTAGATCACAATGTATTAAATTTTTGCTATGTACATCATTTAATGCATTACATAAATATCTAAAAACTTTAATTCTATCTCTTAATATTAAAGTTGAATGATTTTTTTGTAGATAATTTCTTAAATTTCCTTGTGCAAGATAATTCAAAACTATTGCATAATTTCCATTTTCTGGAAATTTAGTTATACCATAATTAGAAACAATTGAATTTGATTTGATTTTACAATGATTCAATGCCTATGATTAATTATATAAATAAAATCAATTAATTGAAAATAAATGAATGGTTTATTTATAAAGATTAATTAATTACCTCGTTAAAAAAAAGTTTTCCTGGATTACTTGAATCATTTAAAGATTTTAATACTATATTCTGAGCTCCAAAATAATTAAATTCTTTTTTATTTTCATCATAATCATCAATACTTCCTCTTCTCCACACACCAGTATAAATTGAACTGAATCCACCTTCTGTTAACTTTTTTACATTTTCAAATTGCTCATAAGGTATCCATTCTATAATATTTCCTGGAAGAGATGAAAGTTGTTGA